ATTCTACTGTAACTAAAGAAAGCACGGATGTCCTTGAAGACGGCAAAACACACAGCTGGGGACCGGACTAAGTGGAAGATAATGGTTGAAGACCGTTTGTCATATAAGAAGTAATGAGGACCAAGTCAAATTCAGCTGTATGTACAGTTATCAAAGTATTATTGAAACAAACCAGTGTTTCTTTCACAATTTCATTGGGGGGGGGGGGGAGGACACTGGTAAAAGTATATATATATTTTCTATATGAATTCTATTTCGTTGAAAGGGGATGTCTGAGAGAATGACTGAAATAATGACTAAAACAAGCAACTTGAAAGTTTACACCATGCTACTGATGTTTCTCAGATTTTAATGGGTAGTTTTTCACTCACCCCGGGTGAACCCATAACTACAACTCTAAACCCAAAATTATAACCCTAAACCTATTCCTAACTGAAATACCCAAAATTATAACTCACTCTAAACCTATGACCCTAAACCCATCCCTAACTGAAGTACCAAAAACTATAACCCTACATCTATTCTTAACTGAAATACAAAATATTTTCCAGTTCTCTTTGTAAAAAGACCACATTTGTCCCTATAGTTGTTTTAGTAGTCCCTACAACTTTGTCAATTTCTCTACAGCTTTATCAATTTCCATGTAACTTTGTCAATTTCGCTACAACTTTATCAATTTCCCTACAACATTATCAATTTCCCTATAACTTTCTCAATTTCCCTATAATTTGTCCCTGTCTTATAACTGCCTATTCCCTTACAACTGTGGGAAAATCCGTGTAACTTTTCCTTTTCATGTTACAGTTATTTTCTTTTTAAGTTCTGTAACTCTGCTTATCATTCCATAACTTTGCTAATCCTGAATTATAACAGCACTATTTGAAATAGCGGAAGAATTGTGTGTTCTAGCAGCCGAGTCACATTAAACATATGTATTAATGCGACCATGCCTGCCAGATTTCTTTCCCCTTGCCAAGATTCAAAAGGAATCGATAACTTGTTTAGAAGTTGTAATTTTAGAGTTGTCGTTCTTCCCCTCCTAGAAGTTTGCGTGATTGATGCTAGTTTTAATTGATTAATTAGCATGTGCACGTATGACAAATGTTTGCTTGTTAATCCACAAATGTTAACTTGTAAGCATTAGATTGTGTGGACGGTTTTAGCACGTAATTGTCGGCACATGTTAAGGATAGAGTGTGTGCTTAGAGTGGTGACTAGTTCGCAACATCTTTTTTAAGTCGCTCTGATGTATAGTGTGTATGTGAGGGATATTCTAGTGTGTGGGGAATAGCTGTGTGAGGGATAATTGGGTGTGCGGGATTAGTGTGCGTGACGAATAATAGAGTATATGATCATTAGGTGTGAGGGCTAATTGTATGTTAGTGGTAATTTAAATTTTGTGCGAGCGATAATTGTATGTGAGAGATAATTGACGTCATACAAAGGTCGTAGCTTGCGACGGTAGCAAAAATTAGCTGTGACTTTTTTTCGGTAGGCGCAAGAACATGTTACCAGATCTTGTTACATTTTTCACAAAAACTTGCTACAAAAACTTGCTACAAGAACTTGCCAGAACAAATTAAATACAAAAACTTGCTACAACAAGTTGCTACAAAAACTTGCTACAAGAACTTGCCAGAACCAATTGCTACACAAACTTGCTACAACAACTTGCTACAACAACTTGCTACAACAACTTGCTACAACAACTTGCTACAACAACTTGCTACAACAACTTGCTACAACAACTTGCTACAACAACTTGCTACAAATACTTGCTACAAAAAACTTGCTACAAAAAACTTGCTATTACAACAAAAGTGTTACAAATGTACACTTGACTGGTGTCCGGACGAAAAAAAAATGGACATACTCCCCCCCCCCCCTCACTCGACATAAATCACGTGACTTTTATTCCCGACAAAATGCCAAAAAAACTTCTACTCTCTCTTCCCCCTCCCCTCCGGCGTCACCACACCCCCATTACTTTGAAGGACGAACGGAACTCAATGAAACTGAAGTAAGAAAATTTATGGTTTAAATTACATGTTTAATGTTTTATCGCATTAAAATAGCTAAATAGTAGAGGGAGAGGGGTGACACCAAACCAAAAATACAAAATTGTTGGATGGGGGCTGAGTTGATACCTTTAGCTAACGTACCCGTGGGCACCCGACCTAGTGACGTCAGTGGTTGTAGTGATAAGAAATAACTTTCATGAAATGGTTGAGACACCAGGAGTCTTTCTATCCTTTCTCAGCAACCTGTAGTTTTGTGTGCACCAGCTAAGCCTCTCATCAAATTTAATACATTGTTTACTCCTATATATCACAAATACATCACAAATACTTCTAATTAAGTTACTCACTATACCTATATCTGGAAATTTAATTATATTTATTAATTAAAATACTATTATTTATCTGGGGAGGAAACAGTGGATCTTTAAATACGGCATTGTAGGCGTGGTTCTGTTGTTTTGGTGTGAGTGGAGTTATTTGGGAGGGGGGGGGGAGGTCGACTAGGATAGGGTAATGTGTTTAATGGAAGATCCTAATAGGATTTAATTAACCTCACTAGCACACAACGGCACACAAAAACCCAGGTATTGAATGAAAGGACACACAAAAAACCATGAAATGCACGAAAGGCCACATGGATTAACACTGGATCGTGTTTCAGTTTGATATTTATGCCGACGCCACGAATCATGGTTTTTATGACGACGCCACGAATCATTGTTTTTATGACGACAGTGAAAGCGAGCCAATAATGGATTAACATTCCAGTCGATAAAACACAAACGTCCCGGCCTGGGTAGGGTTGTGTTTTATGTGTACATCTGACGTTGTCTAACAGTTTGTCTGTTGCTGTGTTGTTGTTTGTTTACTGTTCTTTTTTTTTACATCACAGACTTATGTTTTCACTCTAGAACTTGAGAACTTAAAATGTCAATTGTGTATGTGGGTAGGGGGGGGGAGGTCGTTATATCCCAGGGTTCTCTTTTCAAAGGTTTTTATTTAAACTCAGTATGTTTGTTGCTATGTTTATTTGTGGCTCCGAAAGTCTTCGAATATTAGTTTAACCCATTTCCCATTTTCCTATTGAGCTGAAGTTCGACATTATGGCAGATCTTGGATGACAATGTAGGAATATCTAATGTTTAGTCTAATTAAACTGATAATTTAATTTTAAAATCACTATATTCTGTTATTATACACAGTAATAAAAGGGGGAGATAACATTAGATTGTCTTCTTTTTCGAAACTCTATACCAACCAGCATACCCATTCACATGCACACTACCCACCCCCACGCGTCACCCACACTACACCATGTATTCAAACAAGACATTATTTTCCCCATTATCTATTTCCCCAAGTCGGTGATATTTTCCTAATTCAGTCAGCATATCTCTATACATATTCATCATACACACATGATATATATGCATATTCATATATGTATTTATTTATACCTGGCCAGCCCACGTTGTCTAATTAACCCCTGTGACCTGTCTAATTATACCACTGACGTTACCACTGACGTTACCAGACGACGATATTGATACGAGTTTTAAACCCGGCCATTACTTTATCAGGTTACCGTCAGTTGTTTCTATAAATACATTTCGTACGGCCAATCGATTTTTTTAGCTTTGTACTTGGCTATAACAGTGATTTTCTTAGACCAACATTATCATCGCCCCCTCCTACACACATACATATATATATATATATATATATATACTCTTACACAAATATACACTCCCATACATAATTACACTTGCACTCATACATGCACACTTACATGCATACATACATACATGCATACATACATACATACATACATACATACATACATACATACATACATACATACATACATACATACATACATACATACATACATACATACATACATACATACATACATACATACATACATACATACATACATACATACATACATACATACATACATACATACAAACATACATACACACACATACACACATACAAACACACACACATGCACACATACAAACATACACACATACACACATACATACATACATACATACATACATACATACATACATACATACATACATACATACATACATACATACATACATACATACATACATACATACATACATACATACATACATACATACATACATACATACATACATACATACATACATACATACATACATACATACATACATACATACATACATACATACATACATACATACATACATACATACATACATACATACATACATACAAACAGACAGACAGACTCACACACACACACACAGGCAGACACAGGCAGACACAGACACACACAGACATTCATACACACATACACATATGAACATGCATACATACATACACACACGTAGTCACAAAAGAGCCTCAACATTTCTATTGAAACGTCCCTATTCAGAGTTGCATCAGGAAAAATCGAATATTTATCCCATTACAACAGGGCTATTCACAACCTATTTTATCTTCTCCCCCCCCCCTCTCTCGCTCTCTCGCTCTCTCTCTCTCTCTCTCTGGTCTGATAACGTCTTTTATAACCTTCTATTGCCTTAGTATAACCTTATCCCATTATTGAGACTAACCCTACCCGAGAAGCTGAACCTTACCCTACCCTAACTAAACCTAACCTTACCCTGTAAGGGAAATTGACAAAGTTGTAGGGACTGCTCAAACAACTATAGGGACAAATGTGGCCTTTTTACAAAGAGAACTGGACAATATTTTTTATTTCAGTTAGGAATAGGTTTAGGGTGATAGTTTTGGATATATCAGCTAGAAATAGGTTTAGAGTATAAAATGTCCTGTTTATTTCTTCTCCAGCTGACCATCACGACAACATCCATCTGATTGTACCATCACAACATCCATCTGATTGTACCATCCACCTAGACATTCGTAGACATCACCCATCTAGTAACACAGCGTTTGGAAGTTTCCAGAGTTATCGTTCCTGGATGCTGTGAGAGTTATCGTTCTTTGATATTGAGTTTTCGTTCTTAGCTGGAGGCGACCATGATGATTAGATGTGTGACCGGAAGTGATGTAATGCAAACATGAGGTAAGAGCGTCATGTTTCTGCAGTAATCGCTTACTTTACCATAAACCTAGCTGTAACCTTAATCCTAGTCTCTCTTCTAAACCTAACCGCCAAGAAATCAACCGGCCACTATACTTTATCGCATAACCGGGTATTTTAAAAAATCGTTTTGTTCGTTGTCAAAACTGTTTTATCCAGTATCCTCTCTTGTGGTGGCCAAGGCACCATCAGTAATAGAAGTGCGATGACCTTCAAGGTGACATCAGTAATTAAAGTACGATGTCCTTCATCAGTAATTAAAAGAGTACCACCAATGTTTCATGCAGCAAATATTTGGCACGCTGCTGTTAATATATTACACACTGCAATCGATTCATTAATATTTGTCATAACGACACTTTAATCCTAACCCTAAACCATATCCCTTAACGTCTAGATGTGTTTGACAACCTGTTATTATTTTATATTAGATCTCCTTTGATTTAGAAATGACATACCTAACAATTCTCCCCAAATCCCTATCTCAAAATCATAAAACTCGCATCAACCCAAAACATTAACCTAAGACCCTGCAAGCTAAATTAAAACTTAAATCTCATTTTTTTTTGCCTGTTATTAAAACGCTGTATTCATAAAATATTTAACGTCAATTTTCCTCGATCTAAAACCAGTTTTGTTTCCATTTTTCAAGCGCTTTGTATCCTCCAGCTATTATCCTATTATCCTGACAAATTCTCCCTATAACTATTATCCCTTTTATCCCTGTCGATGTCTTCCATCTAAACATCATCTCACTGATGTTCTTGCATTGATTTCCGCCGCTAAATCGATCCAGTTCTCCGTGGAGTTTTTAAAAATATTGTGTATTTTCTTTAACTCATGCTTTTTATACTTGCATCTTTGTTACCCTCGATTCTATGAGCTTTATCTGACCCACGGTCGTTATCATTAGGGGAACTTTACTTTTACTTTTCTTACCTGTTTACTGACTTGCGTCTTTGTTACCTGTTTATTGACTTCGGCCAGGGGTCGGCGTGGTCGAGTCGGTCAAGCTCATGGTTGCTAAACCGAAAAGTCTCGAGTTCGAACCCTCGGGCAGATGGGGCTCGGAGAAACAACTCCAAAATCAAACAACTGCTGCCTTGAAGTTTGCTCTTGGTTGGACAAAGACTATGGAAGCAAATCCAAAAAGAAAAGCAGGCTAAATTCGCCGAACATAGAACTATGGAGGAAAGCTAGGCGGGAGCCTATGGGAGTGTAAATAAGAAGGAGGAAGTGGCGTTGGGTGGGTCACACACTGCGAAAGGCTCACCCAAATGTTACACGCCAAGCGCTTGAGTGGAACCCCCAGGGAAAGCGGAAAAGAGGGCGCCCAAGACAGACCTGGAGGCGGAGTCTTCTTGAAGAACTGAAGCCAACTGGTATGTCTTGGGAGACTTTAATAGCCGGGGATCGGAAGAAATGGAAGGAAATGGTAGAAGCCCTATTTTCCATAAGGAGCAAAGAGGACTAAGTCAAGTAAGTCAAGTCAAGGCTGAATTTGGAGAATGGCCTCAATGGCGCATAACAAGTTGACACGTATACTTAATTGTGTTGGACGGGATATCTTCCAATACTAAAATTAAGAACAAAGAAGAAGAAGACTTCGGCTTTGTTACCTGTTGACTGACTTCCGTCTTTGTTAAGTATTAATTGACTTCCATTTTAGTAGCCTGTAAATTCTCTTCTGTCTCTGCTTCCATTATCTTGTTCCCATGCCTACAAAAGAAACAATTAATAAGATGGACAAGTGACCACCCCCCTCCCCGCACCCCTTCACCAATGACTAGTCCTGTGATCAGTGTTAAGTCCTATTGAGTGACGTCCGAAATGAAATTGTTCACCTTGGTTTCATTAAGACGCTGCCACCTGTCACAAGCCTGTGAGAAAATAAAACCCAAAGGGAATCTGATTTGTTTCTTTCAGTATTGTCTCCCTTCATTTTGGTCTTTTTTTATACCAGTATCTGATTGTTCTTCTTGTTGGTTTTGGTCTTTTCTATACCAGTATCTGATTGTTCTTTTTGTTGGTTTTGGTCTTTTTTATACCAGTATCTGATTGTTCTTTTTGTTGGTTTTGGTCTTTTTTATACCAGTATCTGATTGTTCTTGTTGTTGGTTTTTGGTCTTTTTTATACCAGTATCTGATTGTTCTTCTTGTTGGTTTTTGGTCTTTTTCATACCAGTATCTGATTGTTCTTTTTGTTGGTTTTGGTCTTTTTCATACCAGTATCTGATTGTTCTTTTTGTTGGTTTTGGTCTTTTCTTGTTTAAAAAAATATTTTTTTTCCTGGTTCGAATAATTGGTGACAGAAATAATTGCTAACCAACGAGGCTAACATTGGTTGAACATAGTGGTATAACGTTACCAATTATCTAAGATGGCTTTAGTTTTTCAGGGAAATGTGGCTATGTCTACCACACCATCCAGGGTTACCCAATACTACAGTCCAATGTTGCCCCCAGTCATGGCCTGTTAGAGGCCGGCCATAGTTTGGCCGATCTAGATCAGGAACTTGTTGCTTCTGGTGTCCTGATCATCTATTGAAGATTTCTTACCCTCGCGGAAGTCTGCGGCTTACTCTGGCTACCCCACAAGAAAAATGTTTTTCCCTGGGTTATTTGTTTTTTTTTTTGTTTGTTTGTTATTTTAATTCTCCCACTAACCCGAAACAATTATAGAATTCTCCCTCGCAAAACTCACAGAATTATTCCACTAACCCAGTGTTTCTTCCATACGTTTTTCTCCGGGGGTGGGGGTGGGTGGGAAGGGGGTGGACTAAAATTTCCTGGTGGAGGAGGAGGAGGGGGGGAATATGCTCTGCACTAACCCCCCAACACCCACATTCCCCCACTAACACTCCCAGAATTCTCACACTAACCTCCAACACTCCCAGAATTCTCACACTAACCTCCTACACTCCCAGAATTCCCCCACTAACACTCCCAGAATTCTCACACTAACCTCCAACACTCCCAGAATTCCCCCACTAACCTCCTACACTCCCAGAATTCCCCCACTAACACTCCCAGAATTCTCACACTAACCTCCAACACTCCCAGAATTCCCCCACTAACACTCCCAGAATTCTCACACTAACCTCCAACACTCCCAGAATTCCCCCACTAACACTCCCAGAATTCTCACACTAACCTCCAACACTCCCAGAATTCCCCCACTAACCCCCAACACTCCCAGAATTCTCACACTAACCTCTAACACTCCCAGAATTTCCCACTATCCTCAATCCTCCAACACCACCAAATACCGAACCAAGCTCAAGCCCCCGAGGAAAACTTTAAATCGATGGCCGAGTCGAGAATTGCTTTTGAAATATTTACGCTTAATTTTTTTTTCTTTGTTAATTGTACTCTATTTCAGGCATTACTGATGCATCTGCGTTATTTTTTGTTTTAACTTTGCGGATGCTTTAAAAGTTTCAATGCAGTTTGAACTGTAGCGCTGGATCTTTGGTCTGGACCCACAATTCCCATAAAAAATTGTCCATTATGTAACTGCAACATTGTTTGGTTCACGGTGTAACTATGACGCATAGATCACTAAGTATGTACAGTTTGTATGACTCACTTTTTCAGTGTGATTCTATTGAGCTTGCTATTTCACCGTGACGTCATTGGGTTCACTGTGTCACTGTAACGTCATGGAGCTCACTATGGCCGTGTGACGTCATGGAGCTCACTATGGCCGTGTGACGTCATGGAGCTCACTATGGCCGTGTAACGTCATGGAGCTCACTATGGCCGTGTAACTTCCTTGGACTCGCTGTGTAACTATGTCGTCACTTTGTCCATAGATCTGACCACAAACGCCCCGCTTCGTTTTTTAACATGAAATCAGATATAGATTGACTCTACTCCACCTTCCACAGTGAACATACGAACTACCCATATCTAACCTTTGTAACGTTTGACTTTATCCATACAGGGCTAGCCCAGCGAGTGTGTGTGTTTGTGTGTATGTGTGTGTGTTGGTCAGATGCTCCACACAAAAAAAGTCGGCAATTGTTTTCAATCGATTACCTCAATTGATTAGCAAATCAAATGCTAGGGACGTGTTTTCAACGGCTAATTCGATTCTGTTTCACACTTAGGGGAATCGATTCTGCCGATGTGCCTTTGATAAGGCAACAGAGATGTTTGTTGTGAAATGGTGGGGGGAAAGGTGGGGGTGATTTTTTAACGACTGTGTAGGGTGGGGGGGGGGTAAAATGACGTGGTCTACAACTGTTAATACCTTGGCCGTTAGGTGGGGGGGGGGTCGGGAGGGTGGGGTCTGTACCCTGGGGACGGCTATTGTTCTTGATAAGAGCCATTGACTTGTGTTAGAGAATAGCGTTGTGTGCTCTACATAACGTCGCTGGTAGAAACAGCGTTATGTTCACTACACAACGTCGGTGGTAGAAACAGCGTTATATGCAGTACACAACGTAGCTGGTAGAAACAGCGTTATGTTCACTACACAACGTCGGTGGTCGAAACAGCGCCATATGCACTACATTACGTCGGTGGTAGAAACAGCTGTATATGCTCTACATAACGTCGCTGGTAGAAACAGCTTTATATGCTCTACATAACGTCGCTGATAGAAACAACGCATGCACTACATAACGTCGCTGGTAGAAACAGCGCATGCACTACATAACGTCGCTGATAGAAACAGCTTCGTATGGTCTACACAACGTCGCTGATAGAAACAGCGTTATGTGTACTACATAACGTCGTTGGTTCGATTGGGCGAGTTCTGGAGTGTACCACGGTTCCTCAGCTCCGAGCTTAAGTTGAGCTGAGATAATCGATCGAGTCAGCCAAGGCCGGTGGGCTTTAAAAAACTTTTAATGAGTGTAACATGAGGATACTTGCCACTCATGTCTTTAAGTTTTGTCATCGGTTGATGTCAGGTGCTGATAGTCTTTAGTATTAAAGTTTATATCATCAGCTTATAATGTTAGGTACTGACAGTCT